GAGATGGTATCTCAATGTGGTTTTGATTTGCATTTCTCTAATGACTAGTGATGATGAGCTTTTTTTTTTCATGTTTTTTGGCTGCATAAATGTCTTCTTTTTTTTGTTGTTGTTTCTTTTTAGAGATGGGGTTTCACCATTTTGGCCAAGCTGGTCTCAAACTCCTGACCTCAGAAAATCCGCCCATCTTGGCCTCCCAAAGTGCTGGGATTACAGGCATGAGCCACCATGCCCAGCTTGCATAAATGTCTTGTTTTGAAAAGTGTCTGTTCATATCCTTTGGCCACTTTTTGATGGGATTTGTTTTTTTTCTTGTGAATTTAAGTTCTTTGTAGATTCTAGGTATTAGCCATTTGTCAGATGGGTAGATTGCAAAAATTTTTTCCCATTCCTTTGGTTGCTGGTTCACTCTATTGATACTTTCTTTTGCTGTGCAGAAGATCTTAAGTTTAATTAGATCCTATTTGTCTATTTTGGCTTTTGTTGCCATTACTTTTTATGTTTTAGTCATGAAGTCCTTGCCAATCCTATGTCCTGAATGGTATTGCCTATGTTTTCTTCTAGGGTTTTTATGGTGTTAGGTCTTGTAGTTAAATCTTTAATCCATCTGGAGTTCATTTTTGTATAAAGTGTAAGGAAGGGATCCAGTTTCAGCTCTCTGCATATTACTAGCCAGTTTTCCCAACACCATTTATTTAGACCTTTGTTTCTTCCTCAGACTCCTACTACAACTTTATTGACCAAGGTGGGTGGATAACCTGAGGTCAGGAGTTCGAGGTCAGGAGTTCGAGGTCAGCGTGGCCAACATGGTGAAACACCATCTTTACTGAAAGTACAAAAATTAGCTGGGCCTTGTGACAGGAGCCTGTAATCTCGGCTACTCAGGAGGCTGAGGCAGGAGAATCGCGTGAACCATGGAGGCAGAGGTTGCCGCGAGCCAAGATAGGCCATTGCCCTCCCACCTGAGCGACAGAATGAGACTCTGTCTCAAAAAAATAAAATAAATAGGTCAGGCGCAGTGGCACACACCGGTAATCTCAGCACTTTGGAAGGCCGAGGCGGGTGGATCACAAGGTCAAGAGATCGAGACCATTCTGACCAACATGGTGAAACCCCGTCTCTACTACAAATACAAAAATTAGCTGGGTGTGGTGGTGCGTGCCTGTTGTCCCAGCTACTCAGGAGGCTGCGGCAGGCGAATCACTTGAGCCCGGGAGGTGGAGGTTGCGGTGAGACAAGATCAGGCCACTGCATTTGAGCCCCGTAACAGAGTGCGGCTCCATCTCAAAAAATAAACAAACAAAAAAAATCACCAGGCTTTTTTGGAGGCACCTCCTTAACTGGACCTAGGAAATTATTAGCTGAAAGTCTGACACCTGTGAAGGTCTGACAGACCAACTTAACACAGTCATGCCTATTCTTTCTAGGAGATGTTTATCTATCAAGTTAAATCGGCATAACTAGACCACCTTTGCCCCAGCCCCTTCTTTCTCTCTCCCTCTCGTAACCATGTTCCAAGCCCCTATTCTGTGGTAATCTCAAGATGGTATAAAAGCATCAAGCACCGGGCGCGGTGGCTCACGCCTGTAATCCCAGCACTTAGGGAGGCCGAGGCGGGTGGATCACGAGGTCAAGAGATTGAGACCATCCTGATCAACATGGTGAAACCCCGTCTCTACTGAAAATACAAAACATTAGCTGGGCATGGTGGCACTTGCCTGTAATCCCAGCTACTCAGGAGGCTGAGGCGGGAGAATTGCCTGAACCCAGAAGGCGGAGGTTGCGGTGAGCCGAGACCGCGCCATTGCACTCCAGCCTGGCTAACAAGAGTGAAACTCCGTCTCAAAAAAAAAAGCATCAAGCATCTGGCCCTTTCTTTCAGTTTTCACATTTGGCTTGACTCCCGTGCCGGTATGCACATTAATACATTTGTAGCCCTTTCCTCCTTGTTAATCTATTAGCAGTTTGTTTCACAGACTCGAGTGATCAAACCTTTAGGGGAAAAAAATAAAATTCAAATTTCCTTACAGTGATCACACAGCTGGCTAGTGGCAGAGCTGAATTTCAAATCCAGCTCTCTGTAAGGGCCAATTTCCACTGCATCACAATGCAACTTATAAAGTGCTCTGTGCATATTTATTCAAGGTACTGTTATTATTAAACTTGTTTGACTTGAAGTAGGTTTACAAACAAAAATCAGCATAAACAACCTAGTTCACCATATTTGAAAATGTAGCTTCAATATGGGATCATAAAATAGAGAAGTTTCATTTGCATTTCCAACTTAATTTCAGCGGAAAAGAGTAATTTGTTTAGAATATACAAATGGTATTAACAACGCTCACAATCTCTACTGCAGAAAGGACTCTGGTTAACAGTTATAAAGTGGAAGGGGCCCAAGTAAGTTTGCCAAAAGGAGCAATATGGAAATTCTGCCCACAGCCAGAACAATGAACATAGATTTGTCAAAACAAAGAACAGTAAAGTGAGGAAAGGCAATTTGTTCAGCCCTTGTTATGCTATTTGACGACTACTTTTCCAGTTGCTAGTTTTCTATTCACTTTAACAAAGAAAAAGATTAAATAAAAAATTCAACATTTTGCAAATTCATATTATCCTTTAGTAGAAGGAAAAACATTGTGAACGGTAAATTATAATGTTCAAAGTCCAAACCAGGAAAACAGTCTCCAGTCAGATCATTGAATAGCAAAGCCTTCTATTCCAAAAAGAATCTTCAAAATGCCCATTGTTTGTGTTTTGCACAACTTTGAAGTTTTAATGCTAATAATGATTAAATTTAAATGGAGGTATCTTTAGGTTGTTACTGCCCTAAACTAATCAATATACTTCGACTTACATAGCACATTTTGGTTTCCAGATTGGTCTGTGGATATCGTGTTACTACATCTGGACAGCTGAGCAACAACATCAATAACCAGAAAGGAGGGTAAATTTAAGCCTCGAATTTTAAGAACAAAGCTGAAACAACAGGCCTTGAGAATACAGCCACGAAATAACGCCCAAAGCACTCTTTATACATGGCACAGGCTGCACACTTTTCTCCCTGACTCACAGATGGGCAGTGGTGAATACTGCTTTTCAGATACAAGGATATAGTAATAAGGACCACCTAAGTACTTTCAAAACTTTTTTTGTTTGTTTTTTGAGGCAAAGTCTCGCTCTGTCGCCAGGCTGGAGTGCAATGGTACCATCTCAGCTCACTGCAACTTCTTCCTCCCAGGTTCAAGCAATTCTCCTGCCTCAGCCTCCTGAATAGCTGGGTTACAGGCATGGGTTACCATGCCTGGCTAATTTTTGTATTTTTAGTAAAGAGGGGGTTTCACCATTTTGGCCAGGCTGGTCTCGAATTCCTGACCTCAGGTGATCCATCCGCTTAGGCCTCCCGAAGTGCTAGGATTACAGGTGTGAGCCACCACTACAGGCCTCAAAACTTTTGAATGCAAATGCACAACATGTTTTTAAGGACTACCTAAATCCTTTCAAAAGTGGTCCTCGAAAACATGTTGTGCACTTGCATTCATAATATGCTATTTCTTTCTTCCTGCTAAACCAAAAGCTGTACAAGCCAATGTGGTATTGCACAGGGCTTCATCATACTATAGTCAGTCTTCAAAGGACATTAAGTAGGCTTCCGCTCCTGATCTGCATGCGCGCGCCTGCGCGCGCGCGCGCGCGCACACACACACACCCATGTGTCCGTGAACAAAATTCAAAACAAACAGAGAAGGCTGGGCGCAGTGGCTCACTCCTTTAATCCCAGCACTTTGAGAGGCCGAGGCGGGTGGATCAATTGAGGTCAGGAGACCAGCCTGGCCAGCATGATGAAACCACATCTCTACTCCAAACACAAAAACTATCTGGTTGTGGTGGCACACGCCTGTAATACCAACTGCTAGGGAGGCTGAGGCAGGAGAATCACTTGAGCCCGGGAGGCAGAGATTGCAGTGAGCCGAGATGGCACCACTGCACTCCAGCCTGGGCAACAGAGCCAGACTGTCTCAGAAAAAAAAAAAAAAAAGTAAACAGAGAACACAAATTCACAGATCCAACTCCACCAGTTACTCAAACACAGATTAAGGATGTGCCAAATTTATATCCGGACTTTGTTTTTAAATGCTTCTTAGAAACGACCAGGGCTTTGCACCAACTGCGAGTTTTAGCTAAATACTACTCGGTTTTGAGAAAGTTATTTTACTCTGTAATTTCTGCGGGTTTGGAGAGACGGGGAGTAAAGCAGGTAGTCTGCCACCTCCTGTCACGTTGTGGCTGGGTGGTGAAGGAGTGCATTCAGGGGCTTGCGGCTAACGTCCAAGCCCCACCCTATCAGGTTGTTTAACGACTGTGGAAAGTCACTCGGAAGCTCCAGTTTGACTTGCTCTTTGAGAGGCTGGGTGTCTGTTTTGGGAAAGGGTAGCAGGGGTGGGGGTGGAAGGACACTTGGCACAGATCCTTGTTTGCTTAAGACGAGCCTCTGTGGGCATTCTGGGAACACGTGCACAGCTCCAGCAAAACAAAACGGATCCAGGTTTCTGGGGCAGAGGGAAGCGCAGCCCGTTCCACCGAGTTCAGCGGGATAACTGCGCGTAGCGGGAGCCCCTGCCTTGTAGCGGGCGCTGGTTTTCTTTCGGTGCCCGGGCGGTCGCTGGTTCTCCAGCCAGGAGCACCCTCCCCAGTTGGCCAGCCCTGGCGCTGGGCGGGACCAGCGCCTGGATCCCTGGAGCTCCGCACCTGGGCTTCGGGAGGAGACGGCGCAAGGGGGCTACAGGGCCCGCTCCTTTCTGTCTTCTCCTCCCGAAGTCCCGTGTCACTTACCGACTGGCGTTTTCCTCGTGGCCCCGCACCCGACGGGTCCAGGTTGCTCCCTGCAGCAGTTCCTAAGGCGCTGTCTTCCGATCCCCTCCTTCCCGCTACCAAGCCCTCAGCTTCCCCACATCGACCTCTGCAGGGATGGGCGCGAACCGGGCTCCCCTGGCACTTACACGTGGCCACAGCGGGTCCGGACAGGCCGGTGTAACACCTCAAGGCATACGGAGCAGTCGAAGGACGTGACGGGCAACTCCGGGTCCCCCCTGCGCTCCAGGGCCCGCGGGGTGGCAGAGGCGGGCGCCGACTTGCCGCTGTCGCTGCTCAGCACGGAGCCCATCGCTGTGCCTCTCGCTCGCCCGGACAGCTGCCAAGCGCTCAGTGCCTGCTGCAGGGTTGTTTTGTTGCCGTGCGCTGGAGGAAGGAAGTCCCGGCCCAGCTGCGATCGCCGCCCTCCAGCGCGCCCAGCTCGCGCAGCCCAGAAGCAGCCTCCGCCGCTGCGCCCAACCCTGGTCTAGGGCAGGGCGAGTGCGCGGCGGCGGCGCTGAAATCTGCAGGCTGCCGGGCTTGAGGCGCGGAGGCGGAGGCGGCGGCCGCCGGTGCTCGCTGCACTGTCTTGTGGTATTGGGAGGGTTGAAACCTGAAACCTCAACTGCAGAGAAGAGGATTAAGGCAGTAGTAAACCTTCCAATCTGTCACCCACACAGCCTCTTTCCCCACAGTCAGGAGTTAAGGGCGGGCGTGGCCATGCTTAATGCTGATCAGAGAACAGCCTCTTGAAAGGTGATGCATAGGACCATCCTCCACGGTTGAAATCACAATAAGCTGCAAAGATGGCCTATGATCTATGACTGGGCGTCTCCTAAGACAGTGCTATCAATACTCTGTCATCCAGTCAATAGTCCATCAATAGAGAGAGAGCACGGGTAGTGGAAAGAGTTCTGGAGATTTGGATTCCAATCCTGCCTCTCGTAGAGTCTAGTGCTAAACGCTGCCATCTCCAGTTTCCTCTGCGGCTCAGGATTTCCTCTGTTGTTTGTACTCTCCCCACCCCACCCTTTAAACTTGATCAGCCGCGCTCAGTGACGCCGGCCTGTAATCCCAGCACTTTGGAAGTCCAAGGCGGTTGGATCGCTTGTGGTCAGAGTTCGAGACCACCAACCTGGCCAACATGGTGGAACTTCGTCTCTACTAATAATATAAAAAGTAGCCGGGCGTTAATTCACACGTTTTACGACTTATTTAGTGCTCACTGCACGCCAGACCTGGTTCTGATGATAAAGACACAATTGTCAACAAGCAAATAAAATCCCAGTTCTCACAGAATTTACTTTAAAAAACAAAAACAGAACTTTATTTTGAGATAATTATAGATTCGCATAGAGTTGCAAAAATAGTACATAGTATATAATACACATATATAATAATACATAACACATGGGATATAACATACAATACATGTATGTACTTAACAGCCCATAAATTTGACCCAGTTTACCCCAGACTTTACTTTTATTATTATTATTATTATACTTTAAGTTCTGGGATACATGTGCAGAATGTGTAGGCTTGTTACATAGGCATATACATGCCATGATGGTTTGCTGCACACATCAATTCATCATCTACATTAGGTATTTCTTCTAATGCTATCCCTCCCCTAGCCCCTCATCCCCAAACAGGCCCTGGTGTGTGATGTTCCCCTCCCTGTGTCTATGTGTTCTCACTGTTCAACTCCCACTTATAAGTGAGAACATGTAGTGTTTGCTTTTCTGTTCCTGTGTTAGTTTGCCGAGAATGATGGTTTCCAGCTTCATCTATGTCCCTGCAAAGGACATGAACTCATCCTTTTTTATGGCTGCATAATATTCCATGGTGTATGTGGGCCACATTTTCTTTATACAATCTATCATTGATGGGCATTTGGGTTGGTTCCAAGTCTTTGCTATGGTGAACAGTGCTGCAATAAACAAACATGTGCATATGTCATTATAGTATAATGATTTATAATCCTTTGGGTATATACCCATTAATGGAATTGTTGGTTCTAGATCCTCGAGGAATTGCCACACTCACACTTTACTTTTGATTAAGAGATATAGGCCAGGTACTGTGGCTCATGCCTGTAATCTCAGCACTTTGGGAGGCTGAGGTGAGAGATCATTTGATCACAGGAGCCAATATCATGCTACTGCACTCCATCCTGGGCAACAGAGTGAGACCCTGTCTCAAAAAACAAACTAAGCTGGGGTGGTTGCTCACGCCTGTAATCCCAGCACTTTGAGAGGCCGAGGAGGGCAGATCATATGAGGTCAAGAGTTTAAGACCAGCCTGACCAACGTGGTAAAACCCTGTCTCTACTAAAAATACAAAAGTTAGCTGGGCGTGAGCTACTTGGTAGGCTGAGGCATGAGAATTGCTTGAACCCAGGAGGTGGAGGCTGTAGTGCGTTGAGATCATGCCACTGCACTCCAGTGTGAGTGACAGAGACTGTCTCAAATGACAACAACAACAAAACTCCAAAAACAAACAAAAGGAAGCTGTTTAAGTAATCGATAAATAAATTTATTAATAAACAAAATCATTTCAGATAATCAGAACCACAAAGAAGATAAAACAGTGAATGACAATGGGGAGAAGGATAAGCTCAGAGAAAACGTTTTGGATGAAGTGACATTTGAGCAATGCCATGAATAATGAGAAGAAGTGAGCCATTCATAGATTTAGGGGAAAGCGTGGTAAGCACTGGGAACAGCGAATGAGGCAGGACCAAAGGAAAGAAAGATCCGTGGGGCTGGAGCATCGGGTCGTGGGGGCTGGGGGGTGGGGGGGGGAGATAAGATGAAATGATAGTTATTGCTATTTTCAAAAGGAAACAAAAACCCTCTTTTCATCCCACTTATGCCTCAACTCCTGCCCCATATCCCCTTCAAGGCCAAATCTCTTGATCTGATTCTGCACATTTTGTCATCATTTCTTAATTATTCACTTCTTATTCAGTCTTGTCTGGGTTCTGAACTAACATCTCCACCTCCATCTGTCCAAAAACTGATTTATTATTGGTGTCACTGGTGACGTTCATGTGACTAATTCCAATAGATTTTTTTCAGCTACTTTTCTGCTTGACCCCTCGACTATGTTTGTCAGTGCTGACCATTCCCTCCTGGAAACACTTTGACTTCCCTTCTTTCTTTCTGGCTGTTGTTTCTCAGCCTCCTTTGCTGGAGTCCCCTTCTCCACTGGCTTGGGGCTGGAGAGCCTAGGATTCTGTCTTAGGACCTTTTCCCTTCTCATTCTCTCTCTCTCTCAAAAATCACATAGGTTCTGTTACTACTTTCATTCCAAAGACTTTCACATCTTTATCTCCACCTCAGGCGATTCGAATGCTCAACAGCCCAATAGCTTACATGATTGACATCTGATGTAGACACCCTCAGCCCAATGCATCTAATAATGAACTCATTACAGTAGCCACCACCTCTCCTCCTCCAGTGGTTGTGTTAGCAAATGGCACTATGATCCACTTTATATCTCAGTCTAGACACCTGGAAGTCATCCTTCATTTTTTCTTCCTCATTCACATCGAATCAATCACAATCACAATTCTGCCTCCAATATGAATCTCAGTAGTTTTTATTTTGTTTTTGAGACAAGAGTCTCTCTCTGTTGACCAGGCTGGAGTGCAGTATTGCCATCTTAGCTCACTGCAACTTCTGCCTCCTGGGTTCAAACAATTCTCCTGCCTCAGCCTCCCGAGTACCTGGGATTATAGGCATGCACCACCACACCTGGCTAATTTTTTTGTATTTTTAGTAGAGATGGGTTACACCATGTTGGCCAGGTTGGTCTTGAACTCCTCAGCTCGTGATCTGCCCACCTTGGCGTCCCAAAATGCTGGGATTACAGGCATGAGCCACCGCACTCATTTTTTTCTATTTCCATAGCCACTGCTTATTTTAAATCACTGCATCATCTTGAGTGACTTATGGCAATAGTTCCTAACTGCTCTACCTGCATCCATCATTGCCACTCTCCAGTTTATTATCCACATGGCAACTAAATTGATCTTTTGAAAAGCAAACATCTTGTGTTACCCCATGCACACAGTCCTTCAATAGCTCTCCTAATCCTTAGGATTAAATTCCAAATCCTTAATATTATCTAAAAAGTCCTGCAAGAACTTACTCTTAAATAACTATAATCAGTTAAGATACTTTTGATGGTAGGAAACAGAAATTCAACTGAAAGTGCCTCATTCAATAAGGATATTTATTACCGCCTGGCTCGGTGGCCCACACCTGTAATCCCAGCACTTTGGGAGACCAAGGCGGGTGGATCACTTGAGGTCAGGAGTTAGAGACCAGCCTGGCCAACATGGTGAAACCCCTTCTCTACTAAAAATACAAAAATTAGTTGGGCATGGTGGCACACACTTGTAATCCAGCTACTCAGGAGGCTGAGGTAGGAGAATTGCTTGACCCTGGCAGGTGGAGGTTGCAGTGAGCAAAGATTGCACCACTGCACTCTAGCCTGGGTCAACAGATCAAGACTCTGTCTCAAAAAAAAAAAAGATATTTATTATTTGAATATGGTAAATTAGTCCAGGGGCAAACAGTTCCAGAGATGGCTCAGCAGCTCAATGATGTCCTCAAAGCCTCAGCCCCTTGCCACCCTCAGCATGTCTCCCTTATGGCTGAAACAGTCGCCCCTATACACAATCTCCAAAAACAAAAAGGAAAGGGTAAGATTTTCCCTTGTAGCTCTCTCCTCTTTTATATGGGAGAAAAATGCTTCCTAGAGGCCTTCCTCTGCAGACTTCCCTTCCTATCTCATTGGTTAAAATTGGGCACAATTGCCATCCTTAGATCAGTCATTAGCAAAAGAGAATGGGAACACTCTGTTTGGCTTAAACTCATTATTTATTCCATAGGGCCTGGCACTTCAGCTCTCTGAAACAACATAAATAGGGTTCTTTTACCAAGAAAGGATATGAAACAACTGGATAGACTAACAGTAAGGTCTCCCACAAAAACTATTTGGGGTCTTGGCTGCTATCACTCTCCTCCTATTTTTCATGCTTCTAAATTTCTCTACTTATTTGAATTCCTTGAGTTTATTATCTCTGACCTCAAGGTCTTTATCCATGCTATTATTTTTCTCTTGGCCTTAACACTTCCTACCCAACATTCTTCCATTCCTAACTCTTTCAAATTTTGGGTCTTAATTTGGATACCTTTCCTTCCTTCCTCTCTTCCTCTCTCCCTCCCTCCCTTCCTCCCTCTCTTTTTCTCTCTCTCTTTCTTTCTTTCTTCTTGTTGCTTTCTTTATTTCTTTTTTTTTTTTTTTTGGAGACAGGGTTTCACCATGTTAGCCAGGATGGTCTTGATCTCCTGATCTCATGATCCGCCTGCCTCAGCCTCCCAAAGTGCGTGAGCCACCACGCTTGGCCTCCCCCTTTCTTTCTTTCTTTCTTTCTCTTTCTTTCTTTCTTTCTTTCTTTCTTTCTTTCTTTCTTTCTTTCTTTCTTTCTTTCTTTCTTT